GCTCTCTTTCTCTGAAATAAATAAATAAATAAACCTTTTGAAAAAAGAAATTATAATTATATGTGGAGATAAAAACCTTGACCTCATAATCTAGAAATTGATGAGACCACAAAAGATCCTCTAATCAATTCTTCTGCTCTCAGGAGAGGTTACTTCCAAGATCTATCAAGATCTATAGTTGTGGATTTTATTTATGAAGATCTTGAAGGTGAGACTCTTTTAAGAGAGGTGAGGAGAGGGTAAGTAGAGTTAGGGGCTCTGGAAGGTTCAAGAAACAATTCCTGAGATTCAGAGTGTAGGCAAAAGCTACTTATTCAATACTGTCATCCTACTAATTAGATATCTAATAGATAATTGAGGCAATATTTTCCTTTTACTTTTCCTAGAGATTTATCCTGCAATAAAATACAATCTATTGAAAGACGTGCATTTGAACCACTACCTTTTTTGCAGTTTATGTAAGTTACAAATATAATTTCATTATACTTGGAATTTTTGTTAAACTTAATTGTAAGCCTCTTTGTTAGAATCATTTTGAAATATGATTGAAATTTTATTAGTAGAAAGCTACTAAAATTAATGTAGCAAATATTTTTTGCCTGTAGCAAAGATTAGTGTGAGAATTTTATACAGATCAGACTGAATCATTCTAGAGCAGTGGTTCTCAACCGGGGTGATTTTGCACCCGGATGACATTTGGCAGTGTCTGGAAACATTTATGGTTGTCAGACTGTAGATGAGCTACGGCATCTAGTGGGCAGAGGCCTGAATTGCTGCTAAACAACCCCCAGTGCACAGGACCGCCCCTCCTAACAAAGACGATCCAACCATAGATGTCACTAGTACCGTTGTTGTGAAACATTTTTCTAGAGAAATAAAGATTACTTAACACAAGTATTTATTGAACATTTACTGATTTGTATCTAATGCACCACAGGTATAAACATGAAAGTATAAATCTTTCATGCAAAATTTTTTTAAAAAGTATCTTCCATAGTGAGATTTCTTCAGTGTATGGAGAGAGTATTGAGGTTATGTTTCATCATATGTAAATTGGAATCACTGCCAAAGGATAAATGTTCTGAAAGAATATCTTTTGTTCTTCTTTTCCTTGTGTCTTTTTTTTTTTTTTTTTTTTTAGAAATCTTGGTTGCAATTTACTCACAGAACTGAGCTTTGGAACATTTCAGGCCTGGCATGGAATGCAGTTTTTACACAAGTTGTAAGTGAAATAGAAAATGAATACATGTAAAAAAAAATAACTGTGTAAAAACACCATACAGTTATTGCTTCAGTGGGTGTAATAAGCCTAGTATGAACTCTGAAAAGTATGTCTTAAAATCTATTCATTTCTTCAAATGGGGAAACTAAGGTACAAAGAGGCCAAGAGACTTGTCTGTCTCATAAATGGCACACTCCGCTTTCTCTAGGACTCAGCTTTGGTGTGGGCAATAAAAGACCCCAAGCAAATAACAGCCAAATCAGCATTATCCTGGGACTCCATGACAATGATGCTTCTCCAATAGGTGCATGGTCCTTGAAATTCCACTTTTGAATTTAACTTTGATTCCTGCTCATGTGCAAAGTTCCTAACTGCTTCAAGACATGCAAAGTAAAGCTTCGAACAACTAAGTTTAGCACGGAGTTGTCCAGGGAGCAAAAGTGTGGGTCCTTCCTCATCCATCAGCTTCTTTTAAATGGTAAAGCAGAAAGAACTCCTGAAAACTTACCACAAGGCACTTCTCTCCCCAGTCACCCAGAGCAAAAAGTATATACCTCTGAAGTAAACTATCCGGGGGCAGTAGGAACCTTTGAGGTACGGAAAACGATGCGTTTATGTTAAGTTGTAGTGTGGGAAAACGTTCATAAAGAACATACATTGCTGTAGCCTAATTTCATATGCTTTCTTTCCTGACTGTTCTTCAGTAAGAAGCCTGTTATTCCCTTTCAGCTGGAAAATTCCGTGATTTCTCTATGACATATCAAGTCATAGTGGGTATGTTCAATGGCCTGAGGGGCAGTTTAGACACAAGGTGAAGATCTTCCTCTAAACCTGACTTTGGAAAAGACTATCTTATCTGTCTCGTGGTTCAGAAATACAATTTCACACAGTTTATTTTAGAATGGATGAAGGTGTTGAGGGTGCGTCTGGAGCTGAGTAACTGTTGCCGCCGACGTCCATCTGTAGCAGCCTCCTCTCTCCTCTCAATTTGCTGATGCCTCACTCGTGGAAGGAGTCCTCAGGGTCAGTTTTTTGTTTTGCCAGCACAGCAGAGAACAGGCTCATTGGGTTTCTCCACCAAGAGGTATAACGTCTCAAACTCACCACCTTTACTAAGCACGCTATAACACCAAGTGTCTCTTACGAGAGTCTGAATTTCATTATAGTTAGGTGGGCAACATGGGAAAAAATCGGGTGGAATCAGGTGATAAAAATTCATGGATTCACTGAAAAACAGTCACCGAGTGCCATGCCCACCACGTGTCGACGCTGTACTAAATACTGGGGGTGCAAAGAAGACTGCCCCCAAGAAACTTTCATACCAGAGGAGGAAGATGGGTGTTGAGGGAAAAGCACACGGGAGTCATGCGGGCATCTGTACAGCAGGGTCACAAGGTGGGGGGTGACAAAGTAGGCAACGGGTTGCAGGATAGGAAAGATTCGTAATGGATGAGGCAACAACTTGTTTGTGTTGAGTTTCTGCGTGCATCTTTTTTTTTAATTTTTTTTAAATTTTTTATTGTTATGTTAATCACCATATATTACATCATTAGTTTTCGGTGCAGTGTTCCATGATGCGTGCATCTTAAATGACAGAAAAAGGTAATTAAAGAACCAGAGCTAGCTGGCGTTGAAAATAAATTCGTACACATGTCACATGGTTTGAATAGAGCTGCTCTACTGAAACGAATTCACGGTTCCTTCTGAAAAAATCACAATATAGTAAGTGTGTATTGGGGGCGAGGCTCCTTTGTTTGGAGCCACATTTTTCTAATAGACAAAGCTAGTCCGCTTCAGGAAATGTTTGCCATAGTGAGATATAGACTTTATTGCATCTCTTTTCAAAGGCAAGTTGCCAAGGGAAGATGCTACCCCTTGAATTAGGTCATGTTATTACCTATGTGACATATAACCTATGTCTCTTGGAGTTGGTTTCTATAAGTTGAAGCGATATTTTCTCTGGCATTAACTTAGTCTGTGAAACTTAGAGGCCCCAGCTGAGGTAGATTTATCTCAAACTTACGCTTCAGGGCTCCTCATTTACACAGGCCCCTTCCAAGGTCTTGGGAGGGGGTCCTAGCAATTTTTTGTATTCATAATTTTGCATGCTTTTATTAGACAGGATTTCCCAAAGTAGATGAGGTTCGGGCCCCCCAAGATCCTTTATTTACCCCTGGGTTTCAGGTAATTATAACTCAGGAAGTTTCTTGAATGAAGCCTCTAAGTTATTGATAAACACAGAGTGAACTAGTTAGCAGTGTGGTAAAGTCTATTTTGAGTGGCCATGGCACTCGGTGACTGTTTTTCAGTGAATCCATGAATTTTTATCACCTGATTCCACCCGATTTTTTCCTATGTTGCCCACCTAACTATAATGAAATTCAGACTCTCCTAAGAGACTCTTGGTGTTATAGCGTGCTTGGTAAAGGTGGTGAGTTTGAGACGTTATACCTCTTGGTGGAGAAACCCAATGAGCCTGTTCTCTGCTGTGCTGGCAAAACAAAAATCTGAAACCCACCTCAAAGACATTCCAAGAACTTATTAATAAGGTACCACTTTCGGGGGTTTCTGTTTCATTTTGTTTCAATAAGCTACCACTTTTTGAATGGTAGTAATAATCATATCTCTTTCAGATGAAATCAGGAATGAAATATATTATGGAAAACCAGCAGTGTTTGATAATCGTAAATGTTAAGTATACTTTTTTTTTTCGGACTTTAAAGTGCTTCTCCTTCATTCACCTACACAGGTCCAGACTGATGGCTTATTTTTTAAAATTCTTTTAGTCACTTCATTGGTTCTAACAGTACAAGCTCCATGATTTTAGAAACTGAAGGACTCTACAATGTAGAGGGCTCTACCTTATCCACGTAGATCACGTCCACATGCCGGCTTGTCTGTGGTGCATCAGTCTTGTGCCAAGAACATAAGCACTAAGAGAGAATGAGGAAAATCTAAGCCTTACCCCTACTGAATTATTTACCCCACTATTGAGAATACCATTGAGGCAGTTGTGGCCACACTGTGAAGGCAAATCGAGCTGCAGTCACAGAGACACCCTAATGCTCCCCCGTCATCCAGTATCGGTTTCCTTTAGACGGCTGTGTGCACACACAAGTTTATACACTGCAGGGTATCGTCATCACTTTTTGCTATGTACTGGAAATCCTGGCAGCTTCTTGTCCGATTCAGAAAGGCATAAATGTTCAGGATGAAAATAATAACTGAGGTCTGTCCTTTGAGGGAACTTCGGGTGGCTGTTTTATTATTTTCTCTTTGTAATAGTTCAAAAGGTTTGACATAGTCCTACCCAGCAACTACTATACTTTCCTTCTCCCAGCCGCATCTTATTCTTCCCACGTACCTAACAACATATCTTCTTTCTCTTGGAAGCAGAGTAGTTCTTCCTCTGCCCCATAACATTTCTTTATTACCTACCTCTAGTAGGCACTTACTGTGTTCCAGGCAGTAGGCTAGGGACCTTTACGTATCATACAAGCAAGATAGTGTGCCCAACACTCTCAGATAGTGCCTGGATGGGAAATGCTCAATACATGCTCTCTCATACTATATCTTATTTTCATGTTTCCAACAGCTCTTGCAATGTGGATATCGTTATCCCCACTTTGGGGACGAGGAAATTGAAACTCAGAGACATTGGGTCACTAGGTTCACACTGTTAATAAGTGGCAGAGCCGCCTAGGAGCTTTGCAAGTAAGGCAGCTCCTCATTCCCTTGGAGTAGGAGCTGAATGATGACTCTTTGGCGTGTTGTGCGTTGTCTCTTGGAGTTGGTTTCTAACTGGAATAGGACCTTTAGAGCAGAGAGCTCCTTTTCCCTATGGCAGTCCCATGCTTCTGGAGCTCCTGGCCATGCCACCTCTGGGCATCCCCAGATTTTCTGCTCACTGCCCAGTGCAAATGTAACATCATTATTACTAGGCACCTACTCTGTGCCCAGCCTTATGTGAGGTGCTTTGCACATGCTCTTTCATTTAATCCTCAGATTGCCTTATGAGGTAAATGGTGCTAAGTGAGACTCAGAGATGTTTGTTACTCCAGTCACTTCACCAGGATGTGACAGCCAGAATTCAACCCTAGGTCTTCCTGATTCCAGGGGCCCTTGCTTCTTTTGCTGTTCCTCGCTGCCAGGAACTCTTCTTCAAAGCTATTCTCAGAACTTTGATTAAAATATAGGCCCACCATTTCAGATTCTTTAGACTTCGCCCTCCCCCACCCCGCCCCGAGAAAGGACTTACGTCATGAAGTTAGATGTCTTGTATTGAGGAGCTTCACATGGGGGGTCATGTTCTCGTGGCTCATGGACCTATGTAGATGAATAAAGGAAAGGGGTTACTCCATCCCCAAGTACTTCAAACACACTGGAACAGGTTCTAGGTCACTCTGCTTATTTCTTGGACTGCCTTCCTCCAAGGAGCCAGTTTTCCCTGCCTGCCTTCGGATTCTAGCAGAGATAGTTTGGAGTTGGTCCTATTTTAAATTTATTTTCACTGCCTGCTTTGGACAGGTTTTCAGCTAAGGCTGTTAGGATTTCAGTACATTCAGGACAGTGATGACATGCTTCAGTCCTCAGTTCTTCTCTGTCTGCTCAGTTAATAGAAAGGAAACATAGCCCATCTGTCTGGACCTGTATAGACGAATTTGGAGGAAAAAAACAACAGGAAAGAAATGTTCCCTTATTTTGTGAGCTACCTTTAATCTGTCCCGTTGCTCTACAGCAAAAGGCTTTTGCAAAAATACTTGAGTTTTCCTCTTCAAATAAGGCATATTTTTAAAAATCATTTAGAACAATATTTCTTCAACTTTGATTATGAGACAGCCTTTGAAGCCTCATAACTGTTGTTATGTTTTACTCCTATAAAGATTAAGTCCGTGAATATCAAAAAGCTGATGGACTAGGAGTCAGCACACTTTTTATCTGTAAAATGAGGGAATTGAACTGAAAGGGAAATGGTCTCTAGTGTGATGTCCTCAGTGCCTCTAAAACCATTCGTTTTGTGGTTTGTAGAAAAACAGTTACTGTGGAGTCCCCCAAATGTAAACTGTTGGGTCACTTCTCATTCTGTCCTTCCCCCAGGCACAGCTTTCATGAAGGAAAGACAGCACTAAAGACAGGAGGAGGAAATAGGATAATTTAGAGTGGCCCTATATTTTGGTTTCACTAGGGATAAACGCAGGATGTTAATCTCAGTAGGACAAGGGCTGTCTGGTTAAGAGGAAACCCTGAGCTGATGGATACAAGGCCATGGGTGAGCACCCAGGAAAGAGTGGAGGGTTAGAGAACTGAGATAATTTGGGGGGG